TTGAATCTTGCCCAATATGAATGCTTTGAACTAGCGAGGTCTTAATTGGTCCTAGCAAGACGCTTCTCTTTTTAGTTCTTGTTTGTTAGGATTCTTCTTACTGAGCTGTGGATTCATATTTCACAAAAGGCTCATACTGCTGTAATATAGCATGAGGAGGATCCTGTGCTTTTATTTCATTATATTATCAGTCTAAGAAAACATAAAGGGACTGTAAAAGAGTGGTTCAGTGGATTAACACATTAGTATTTTACCGCTGAGGATTTTAGCTGAAATTCATTTCAGGTGTAGTTTACAACGGATATTTGCTTATGACATGAAATCTTCATGCTTTGGGACAAGGCAATTCATGTACCAGGAAAGACTTGGTACTGCAATGTCAATGATATTACCAGATGGGATTATGGTGCGTGAGGCTAGCCTCCCCGGCCTCTCCCTCACAGCCTCAGCTCACTGCGCCGCTGCGGCCTGACTCGGAGCTCTGAAATGCGTGGTACGTGGCTGGCTCCAGACGGGCGGCGCGGCTGTCGTGCCGCCAGCCACCGGTGCTCTAGGCAGTGCGGTAAGGGGGCATGGAGTGGGGGGGTTGGATAGGGGGCAGGGGAGTTCAGGGGGCAGGGTGTTCAGGGGGTGGGGGTGTGGGTAGGGGGCAGGGCGGGAAATGGGGGGGGGGGTTGAGTAGGGGCAGGAGTCCCGGGGGCAGTCAGGAAGGAGGAGGGGTTGGATGGGACAGCAGGGGGAAGTCAGGGATGGGGATTCCAGGGGTTGTCAGGGGACAGGGAGCCGGGGGGAGGTGAATGGGGCAGCAGTCTCACGGGGGCCATCAGGGAACATCGGGAGTTGGATGGGGCAGGAGTCCTGGGGCGGGAAGCATCAGGGGGTGAGAAACAGGGCAGGGGATAGGGGGCAGGGGCTGGGCCACGCCTGGCTGTTTGGGAAGGCACAGCCTCCCCTTGGCCCTCCATACAATTTCCGAAACCCGATGCGGCCCTGTGGCCAAAAAGTTTGCCCACCCCTGATATAAAATGATATAAATGTTAAATAGCATAGGGCCAATTCCTGTGGGATCCCACTGCAAAACCACCTATGAGATGAAGATTCTCTGATGACAATTACATTTTCAAACCTATCAGCTAATTTTTAATCCATTTAATGTATACCATGTTAATTTTATATTGTATTTGTTTTTTAATCAAAATGTACCAGCTCAAATGCCTTACAGAAGTCTGTGAATATTCCATCAACACTGTCACCTTTATCAACCAAATTTGTCATCTATCAAAAAAAATATTGAGCTAGTTTGGCAGGGTTTGTTTTCCATAAACCCATGTTGATTGGCATTAATTACATTACCCTCCTTTAATTCTTTATTAATCGAGCCCTGCATCAGTCCCTCCATTATCTTTCTGGGAATCAACATCAGGTTGACAGGACTTAATTACTCAGTTCATCCCGTTTACCCATTTTTAAAAATGTTACATTAGCTTTCTTTCAGTCCTCTGGAGCTTCCCCAGTGCTCCAGAAATTATTGAAAATCAACATTAATGGTCCAGATAGCTCTTCAGCCAAATCTTTTAAAACTTGTGCAGGCAGGTTAGGTGGATCTGCTGACTTAGAAATGTCTAACTTTGGTAGCTTCTGTTTCTCATGCTCCAGAGATACTAGTGGAATGGAAAAAGTGTTACATCACCATATGATGAGACTATATCATCAGTTTTTTTTCTCAATACAAAACAGAAATATTTATGTACTTCTGCCTTTTCTATATTATTCTGCAGGGTGCCAGAGATAGCTGAGTATACAGGTGTACAGTCTGTAAAAACGTGTATTTTTGAGTTGTTTAAGCTTGTCTGGGAGATGGAATAGACATTTTAGAATAAAGCGTAGTAATTGAAGTTAGTGCATTTTAAAACCAATCTCAGTATTTGCCAAAGTGAACAACAGTTTAACATATTGCATATTCAAAAGAGTGAATTTTTCACCACAGCTTCCTAGCTGCACACACATAGATGTAAATCCAGCGACTCTTCATTGTCTTCTGTGGAGAGCAGAATTTGCCCCATGAAATTTATATACCATGGGTCACCTCATGTATTAATGAGCTACGTGCACATTGTCCTCTTCCCATATGGCAGCTTTCTGTCTTCCTCCTGGACTCATCAGTGGAATCATTAGCAGAGTCTGGGATCTGGATGTGTGGGTAAGGTAGAGGGGAATAGTATAAAGTATCTGTGGACAAATTAAGATAGCCTGTAGTTATATTTAACTGTTCTGTGGCACCTACCTCATGCTGTGTACTTTTTACCACAACATCAGCAGCCTGCAGAGTCCCTGAAATCAGTTGGAGTTTTGCTATCAGAGAGCTGGGGTAATGGCAGAAGGACACACGATCTTCGTACCAATGGCTCTGAATTCCATTGGGTCTCAGAGAATCAGGGATTCTGCATAATAAATATGCTTTTTCTGTGAAGGAACTACCCCTCACTATTCACAGAAAAATTGAGGGAACTCCTCAACAGGGAAACCTTCAGAATTTTCTGTGCTGACATGTTTGTGGAGGGGAAGGGAATGGGTGTTGTACAAAGGCATAGCGTGGCCCTATATATCTGCAGTCTCAGATTTCACTTTTCTAGATTAGTCTCTGATAATGAGCTTATTTGGCAAGAATAGTTTGTTTGTATAGCATAGTATGTAGAAATCAGCAAATAAAAGGTTAGTGTGATATGCCCTTTTGTGGTGTTAAGTCTGTGACCAAATCGAAACAGTAAGTTCTTCCAGAAGGGAAGGCGATGTGATTCTAGTGATCTTCATGGTGAAGCACAGTGGTTTTCCTTCTTCACTGCTAAAAAGGAAGTGGAGAACTCCCAGTGGTGTGAAGGCACTACGAGGTTGACAGATTGGGGAGATGTACACCAGTCCACAACTGGGAATCAAGGTGAAAGGAAATACTGTAACACATTTTATTGTAAGCCTTAGGTGTGTCTGAAAAGTTAGAAGAGTGGAGTTGGCTAGGAGGGGGAATAGATTTGTCTGTTGAACCAATCAAACTTTACCTTCATTGTAATTTTTTCTGGCTTCTTCGAGCCATTGTTAAGGGAAAATCTGTACAAGTTTTAAGGCTTCTGGGAAAATGGTCAACCGGTGGGAGTGTAAGAGAGAGAAATATGTTACTTCTGAAAATTGATCAATTTGCAAGCATAACACATCTGTAGAGGTGGGCCTCTTACTCCAGACTGGGTTTCAGTAGCAAAAACAGAAGTCACATTTTTATCAATTGAGCATTGTCTTGCATTCCAAGTGCGCTGTTACAAAAACATTCTTAAAAGTGTTGAATTTTACTTTCTATGCATCCTTTCTCCCTGCAGAAATGCCATCCAAAAGATATATTTAGGCATTTGTATGTCTTTTTTTGAAAGTCTCTAAACTCATACTGTGCTTTACCTTGTGGTGGTGTTCTACTCCATCTCTGTACCTCCAGTTCATTAATATAAAAATTCTTTTGACAACTGAGCACTCTCTTGTACTTTAGAGAGATAACATGCTATGTCTTGCCTACCGTCTGTTGTTAATATTATAGTTATCGAGTTAAGTGACAACCTGTTTTCAAAATGATTAAAAAAAAAAAAATCCCAGCCAAACACTATGGTACTGTGCTTGACAAAGAAGCAGTTGAAGTTCGTGACCTGAAAAGTAATTGCCTCCTATTGGATTTCTTACTAGTCCACAGCTTACAATTTTAATTCTTTCACTGCTTTTTTTGCACGAGTTAGGAAAAGCAAAACACATTGTTCTGTACTTATTTTTACATTTTATTCAGCAATAAGACCAATATTTTTCATACTTAAGTCTGTATGAAAAATTTGTTACCAATTTATTTTTAAAAGCTGAATACACATAGCATTGGATCAAGGCACATACAAGACTGGCCAAAGGGCGTACAATGCACTTTGGTTTTCATTTGCAAAAATAAATGATTATGGCAACAAAAAAGAGTGGCTTGGGTTTAAGACATTAAATACCTCACAATTCAATAGGAATTGTTATCTTACAAATTTATTATTAAGTTTTGTGGAAATTTGTGACAGTAATGGGCAGTATTCCTGACTGTAGTGGAAGTATATTTAGGTTTGGAAGGATTAGGATTGGAAGGATTTGAATTGTATCGGTAAATGTTGTTAAATGTTGATTTGGCGTATACAAACTGATGAAAAAATATTGCCGTATTAGAATTTGACTGAAGGATATGTACTCTGTATATTTAAATGTTTCAATCTGAATGTCTACATCATTAAATAATTGTCTGCCCCCTCTGCGCCCCCCCCCTTGTTTGACACACACACACACACATTAACATTTCCTGGAACCATGAAAATTTAAATGAATAAAAATCATAAAAATGCTTAGAATCCATAATTTTGCACAACTGTGAAAATTTAAATAGATATACATTGAAAAAAATGCTTAAAAATAAACATTGATGTTATCTGTTGAAATTATTTAAAAAAATCGAATTCTGCCAAGTCTAAGTATATTTAATACACATGTAGTCTGTGGGGTTTTTTATATGCTTTAGAAGTAAGAACTTTATTTCCAGATTTATCAGTTGTACAACTAACCATTTACCATCATGTCTCAAAACTGGTTGAGGCCTTATTTTAGCCTTGTTCATACTAATATGTTTTCTAATGTGTGGAATTATCAGCATATTTTCTGTTCAAGTGCAGGTACTAACATTTCCCCCAAATGCCTATCAGCTATCATCATGTTCTCCATAATATATAAGCTTACACATTCTTGAGAACTAGAAATGAAATGTGCCCTTTGGTTTGTGGTGGTTAGTATAGCAGTGTATTCTTGAAGCCTCGTGAGGAGTTTCATTAACTGCTGAGGTCTCAAACTTTTGCTTTCATGTCAACAGCTTCAGTTTCATGTAGATGACAAATTGGCTTATAAAAATTCATTTCACTGTTGTTAAAATGGATATATCCAGACAGCTGATATTGCCCATTACCACGCACGTTTTTCTTTATTGAGTACTGTCGTGGTTTACAGAGTCAACATCATAGTTCTAGTTTTGCAACCACTTTTTCATCTCCTCTGTCTGCCAGGTTTAATATTTTATTAATACCAAAGTGAAAAATGGCCTGTGCTTATACTTACAAGGATCGTAAATGAATGCAAAGTCCTGATTGTTCAACACAGCAAGAAAATTCACTTTCACAGTCAACAAGTCATCTTACTCAGTAGAACACAAAAGTTAAATGGGCTGTAACTTCAATATTAGCAAGGAAAATACAGTACAAATTACTAAAAAGTACTAAAATAGAGAATTGTGGTCAGGTATCCCCACTGCATTAATTGCAGGAGTAACCTGAAATTGGAAACTTTTAATAAAAAGTTCTTAAATATAAATTATATGGCAAATGTACAGTACATTGCTTTTTCAGTCTTTTAATCCAGTGTTTTGCAGTAGAACAGCAACCTTTATAGTCACTCTTTCCTGTCCGTTATTTCCTTCAGTATCATGAATGTGAATGATCTGAATCTGGTATACCACTGTCTCTGTAGCTTCTGTTACTGCTGCTTTCACTGTGGTTGTTCTTATACAGATTCATTCCATTAGGTGGGAATATGGTATGTATTACAAACTCTTCCTTGGACACTTGGTCATTATTTATTGGTATCATCTGAAAAGAAGTCTCCCTGATTTCTAGGATGGAGTTGTCCTTCTTAGTTCCAGCTTCAGCATAATCATCTTTTCTCCTCCGTCCTTTGCTGTACGCACAGTTCCTTGAAAACAAGGATCCATTTCTGTGGACATACCAGCACACTAACGCAAGCAGCGCTATAGCTAGTAATGCCACCACACCACCTATGATGGCAGCCACAGGTAAATTAGAATTTTTGTAAGGTTCTTTCTCTTGCTCTCGGTTTAGGGTTGTTGTAGGATTGTACATCTTAAGAGGTGCTGTTTCAGTCTCTATACAAACGGGGGTTTCATCAGACAGATAGATGTTGCTGGTTTCCATGGGAACCATACATACACGGTATGGTGACTCTGGCTCAAGGGCTGTAAGTAGGTAGTCACTCCTGTCTCCTGTAACTATTGTTTCAGTTATAGATCCAAAGGCAGGGCTGTGACCCATTTTTAGCCAGCTCAGTCTTAAAGCAGTCATTGGTAGTGCAACTTTCCAGGAAATATGAATGCTCTCAGTGCTTACAGATTTCACAATGATTGTAATGATTTTCCGTACTGGACTTGCTGTGGTTCTGTAGTTTCTATTTAGATTGGGAGTCTTTATGTCTGACTGTTTGGTCACAGAAACTGGCCAATGCCCTTGGGCAGGGTATAATGTGTTTGGTATTGCAGTAGTAATTTGGATGGTGCTTACAGTACTATCATCCTTACAATCAAATAGCTCTGTGCTGAGGTCCTTGATAGCCATTCCACGCACTTTCTCTGGTGCTTGACACATCAGTCCACGTACGTTAACTTTTAAAGGCAATGACTGAAGCCAGTCACGGACCCATTTCATTTTGCATCCACAGTACCATGGATTGTTACGAAGAAACAATTGAGTTATGTTGTCCAGGTCATCAAAGATACCCTGAGGTAAATTGCTTAGATTGTTATTGGACATATCTAGTCGATACAATTGCCTTAGATCAGAGAAAGCATTAGGTGGTACACGATTTATATGATTTTCTTGAAGATAAAGCTTTCTTAGGTTTGTGCCTGGCAAATTTATGGGAGCAGCTGTAAGGGAATTGCGGATCAATGACAGTTCTGTTAGATTGACTAGATTTATGAAGACTTTGTCTCCTAATCCATGATTGTTTAAAAGGTTTCCATCTAAAACGAGACGTTTTAGATTTGTAAGATCTTGAAGGGACACTTCTGAAATTGTGGAAATACGATTATCATCCAAGCGTAGCTCTTCTATCGTTTTAGGCAAACCCCAGGGAATGGTGCTAAGGTGATTTCGAGAGAGGAAAAGTAGTCTGAGATAGATGTTGTCCCGGAAAGCTCCATCTTCAATACTAACAGCAGAAACTGAATTATCATCCAAATGCAATTCTTCCAGATAAGGAATTTGTGAAAGTGAATCATAAGTAATGGTCCTTATATTATTTTCCTGCAAATGCAGTTCTTTAACATACTTAGGGAGATTGGTAGGGAATTCATCTAAACTGTTGTGATATAAGTATATTCTCTCTACCCTAAGCAAGTTTTTCAGGTCTGAAGGAATCCCAGCATTATTTATTTGATTGTTCTGAAGGTAGAGGGTGGTAGCATCCTGTGGAATTCCAGTAGGAATTGATGTCAATTCACGATCATTACAATAAATGAAACCTGCATCACAGCGACACACCGATGGGCATGATTTGGCACTGACTGAATGAGGTGCCATTTTAAGCAACAGCCCTATCTTAGTCCAAATTAGGAAGATGTTCCAAGTTACACTGATCATGGTCAGGAACAATGAGATTTGTACACAGTCTAGTTTTCTGGTCTTCAACAACCTGGAAAAAAGAACAATATTATCCAGATTACTAGTCAAGGAACTACCATGAAAACACCACTTTGAAATTACAGAAGACAGCTAAAATGTGTGTATTATTGTGAACTTTGAGTTTTAGCTGAACTGAAGTACAGTTTACTTTCATTTCTTACATTAATTGTGCTTAGTTTGGTTTATAGGTTTTGTATTATATAGTAACTTGAATATAACCCAACTATGTTTGATTTGTACATTATTTCATTTAAACAAGAAGCATCCTTCTAACAAATACTACACATTCTATGTGTAAAGAAAAGAGGTAATTTCTTCTCAGATAACTTCATTCCCATCTATGTATGTATTCATCTTGGAAGCTCGCTTCAAGGCAAAATCTTGTCTAAATTTTACATTCAGTTCCTGAAAACCATCAAATAACTTTTATTAGATCAGTTGGAACATATATAGGTCCCTTAGGACAGGTCTACACTATGGGGGAAAGTCGACCTAAGCTACGCAATTTGAGTTACGTTAGTAGCATAACTCAAGTTGATGTAGCTTAGATCTACTTACAGCGGGGTCCACACTATGCTATGTCGACAGGAGACGCTCTCCCGTTGACTCCCCTTACTCTTCTCATTCCGGTGGAGTACCAGAGTCGACAGGAGAGTGATCTACGGTCGATTTAGCAGTTCTTCACTAGCCCGCTGAATCGATCCCCAGTGGATCGATCGCTGCAGTGTCAATCCACCGGTAAGTGGAGACAAGCCCTTAGAGAATAACGAAGCCCTTCCTAAATACCAGTTCCAGAAGTTCTGAAGAGTCCTAAATAACCTTTTAAATAGTCAGTGTGTGAGCAAAAGAGCAGTGACTAAATACAGCCTACTCAGTCTTTGATCTGCCCCATGTTGTTGTAATCAAGTACAATAAAAAGAATTATTTTTATTGTTGTTCCCTTGCTATGTTAAAAAATAATTGGAATGTTCAAAAGTGTGAGACCCAAGGAGCTGGTATGTAGCTTGGGAGTGGTTTACATAACCACTAGAACGACACTTTTCCAGATGATTAGATGGAATATTTCATTACATGCTTTTAATTTAGTGTTTCAATATTTGTCATTCTCAAAAGTCTGCTTACTCAGCAGTATGCTAATAAGCGACTATTTGACAGGTTTACCCACATTTTCACATCTTATTAATTCAAAGTGTGCAGTGTAGACTCTATTCATGAACTGTTGAGATTAGAACTGGATTCTGGTACTATTTGTACATTCTAAGACAACATAATTCAATTATCATTGTAATTAGGATACTGAAAATTTATAAGATCACCTATATATTATATAATGTCATGATCCCTTCTCTGGCAGATTTATTTATTAATGGCATTTAATTCTCTCAAACAAAAGAAACCCCCACATTATTATTGATCTTACCTTATTTAAAAGTATGAGTAAACTTTCTGCTTGCAGAAATCCAATAAACATAAATTTTTTACTGTGGAGAATGACTTTTGGAGTCTTACGGTTTATTCCATGTAGCTGGTCTTCCTTATCTGTGTTTACTCAAGTGATTGTTGTTGGTAGTAAATGCGTTATGACTAGTTCCACTGTATTCAGTGAACATTCCAACACAGGTTTATCATGGTGTATAAGCACACCAGGTTGTGGAGAAGAAAAGCTTCAACTTCCTGTCACTATGAAGGAATGAGATTTCTATTTTGTTCTTCAAATAAAGTCTGTGCATGAAGAGTCTCTCTTGTTTTGTGTAAGGCCCTTAACAGAAATTGATTTCCTTGTATTTCTTACAAACTCTTCTGCATAGCATAGTAGTCAAAGATCGTAACTTCAGCTCCACATGATGGAAATCATTCATTATGCTGAAACTTGAATGATGATAGCCTCTTCAGAAGGTGAAAAAAAAAAAAAAAAAAGGTTCTGTCCAAAATTATCCAAGTATAAACTTTGTACAGTAGCTACCTGCTGATAAATCCATACCTGCAGTGAAAGAACTGCTTCCAACTTTCACTTCTGAACACTTGCTCAAAATTTCCAATGCAGAAAATATTTCCTCATGCTCTATAACCATATGAGTTATTTTACAATAGATTGATATTCTTCTGAAGAAACAGGAACATGCTAATTCCTTCTAAAAAAAACCCCACTCCTCTTATAAAGTGTCCTTTAAGCTGTTAATTTCCTGTGAAAGTAAACAGATTTTAATGAATAACAGTGGACACTCGCATACAAAGAAATGCTGATCTGTATTCTTTCTACAATCTGAGCTACATTTATTATTTACATAACCAATACATCTTGTTGCCTTAGTATGTTGGTAATTCAGCAGAATGAGTGGAATTGTTAATAGACATTCTGCTGTCTCATTTCACATTTATTGGGATTTTTCTTTAGCTATTTTGTTATATTTGTCTCAGCACGATAGTAACTGAAATCGGCTTTAATCAACAGACTGTAGAGAAATCATGACATATATTCCATTTGATTACAAATAGAAGTCCAGTCTCATTGAAGGCTTTGCATACTACTGCTATCTCGCTAAACTGAGGGAACAGGTCAATCTCTTCTTGGTTTTAAATATAAAATGTCAGAAATACTGTTGACTAGTTACTGTATGACAGGTGGAAAGGCTGGGTCTAAGTACTGTGTTAACATTTTACCTCAATAACAGATACAGTATTTCCAAATTGTGTGAATGCTTAGACTTCTGCATTATTTCATCCTGCAAGAATGGAGAGATGTTCATGGTTGTGGTGTGAGTTATGTATAATATATATTAAAATATGCAATATTGTTAAAACATTCATAGAATCATAGAATATCAGGGTTGGAAGGGACCTCAGGAGGTCATCTAGTCCAACCCCCTGCTCAAAGCAGGACCAATCCCCAACTAAAGCATCCCAGCCAGGCCTTTGTCAAGCCTGACCTTAAAAACTTCTAAGGAAGGAGATTCCACTACCTCCCTAGGTAACGCATTCCAGTGTTTTACCACCCTCCTAGTGAAAAAGTTTTTCCTAATATCCAACCTAAACCTCCCCCACTGCAACTTGACACCATTACTCCTCATTCTGTCATCTGCTACCACTGAGAACAGTCTAGATCCATCCTCTTTGGAACCCCCTTTCAGGTAGTTGAAAGCAGCTATCAAATCCCCCCTCATTCTTCTCTTCCGCAGACTAAACAATCCCAGTTCCCTCAGCCTCTCCTCATAAGTCATGTGTTCCAGTCCGCTAATCATTTTTGTTGCCCTCCGCTGGACGCTTTCCAATGTTTCCACATCCTTCTTGTAGTGTGGGGCCCAAAACTGGACACAGTACTCCAGATGAGGCCTCACCAATGTCGAATAGAGGGGAACGATCACGTCCCTCGATCTGCTGGCAATGCCCCTACTTATACATCCCAAAATACCATTGGCCTTCTTGGCAACAATGGCAGAGTGTTGACTCATATCCAGCCTCTCGTCCACTGTAACCCCTAGGCCCCTTTGTGCAGAACTGCTGCCTAGCCATTCGGTCCCTAGTCTGTAGCAGTGCTTGGGATTCTTCCGTCCTAAGTGCAGGACTCTGCACTTGTCTTTGTTGAACCTCATCAGATTTCTTTTGGCCCAATCCTCTAATTTGTCTAGCTATTTTATTGCATTTGAAGTATCTCGCCATGAGGTAATTATTAGAATCAGTGCTATGCTATAATAATACACTTACAATGCTACTTTACTCCAGTTTCAAACATGCTGGGTGCTAGGGGGTAAGAAATGTTATATCTAAAGAAAAAACATTTGATCTGGCTGTTCAGATTTCATGATGTAAGCATAATATCAGATTGTTTTAGACGGTATTTTTCTGTTGGAATCTTATCTCTGCTGTGAAGGGTCAAGGGTCATCTGGTCAGATGCTTGAGAGTACGTGTACTGTAAGTCCATGTACAGAGTGTTAATCTGAAATGGAAATACTTCACCCAGAAATTTAAAAAATAATAATGCTTTAACTGCAGTTTGCTTCTCCACTTAGTAATTGCATCGATTCCAAAAAGCTGAGCATCTGCTTCAGAATTAAAATGTATGTAGAATAATGGCTGCTCAGGTCCCCATTTTAATAAGCTGAGGAAAAGTAGAGCTGCTTCTAGTCTACCATAAAATATTAGATCCAGTCAGGGACTTGGTTAATTACTGTAGGTATTAACATTTTTTTTTAAAAGGGCAGGTATATTCATTTTGACTTTTGAATCTTGAAAGTGGAATGGTATGCGCCTGATTCTATTCTGTTAGACTCATGTAAATCAAGAGCATCTCCACTGTAGGCCGTGGTGGTAAACCATTGTAAATATGTATTCATTTATTTTCTGAAATCTAACTATGGACACCCATCCTGAAGCATTCTCGTAGGAGTAATGCAAATGTCCACTGAGGAGTAGAGTTATGTTCATAATTGTGGTTTTAATTCTAGGTGTTTTCTCTCCCTCCTTGTTTCAGCAGTAATGAAAATATTGACTTAAACTGACAAATGTGGCTGTTGCTTCCAGTGTTGTTGTAACAGCGTTGGTCCCAGGATATTAGAGAGACAAGGTGGATGAGGTAATATCTTTTATTGGACCACCTTCTTCTGAAGAGCTCTGTGTCTTTCACCAACAGAAGATTAGATCACTTTGTGTCTCCAAATGTGACTTACCCACCTTGTCTCTGTAAATGTGGCTATTGTTAGAATAACAGAAATATTTTAATGCAGTACATTAAATAAAATATTAATACATGGGTACATTTTGGAAAAATAAAATATAGAATTGCTTATGTTTTTTGTGGCATTACTAACCTGTATTGCATGTTGTTTTGTGAACTGGAAAAACAAAAAAAATTCCAGGGAATCTTTCAGCTCAAATAATGCCTGTACATGTTGTGTTTTATATAGCTTCTGTTGCTTGTATTCCTAAATTAATATATTTAATTGTCTAATCTATATAAAAATGAAATCCCCCTGGATCTCATATGATATGATAAAGGAAAAGCCGTTTTTAAAAAGGGTGGCATATGCTGGAAGGCAGGGGGAAGGGAATAAAAGCTTGTTTTAAAGTGCTTTTGAAGTCTGTCTTCTAATTGAAACTCTTTCCCCAATTCATTAATAAAAGATGGCAGATAATTGCTTTTAATTAGAACTTTTAATGGTAAATATAGTGCTAAGGTAAAATTAAACTGTAATAATGTGTATCAATTAGTTTCTAAACATTTATTCCTGAGAAAGAAAAAATAAAAGTTCCAAATTCTGTGGAAAAAGAAGATAAATGTATTTGTTTTACCTTTTCAAATTCTAAACTGTTTCCTCTTTGCTCCATTTGACATGCAAACGCTCGTTTATTGCCTCTATTGTACTACTGGCAATGTAGGATTAAACTGAAAACCCTAAAGCTCATTAAGTTCTTGGAATTCTTTATCCCTTCTCTCGAAATTACATCAAAACAAAAGAGAGGGGAAAATACAGGTCTCTTTGGAGAAAAAGACACTGTTTCAAAAATGTGGATTAACTTTATACCCCCTCCTCCCTTTACTTAAACTGAGAACACTTTTCTTCAGGATTTGATTGTGTTTGATATCTTGCATTTCCCTTTTACATCTGAAGTTATAGCTGAAAACAATGTTTTTGCATATCAAAGGCTGCAGTGATCTGTCTACATAGAAGAGTGGAATCCTGCTGCCATGCTCAGACTTCCTTCTTCTTGAGCTGTCTCTACATATTCCCTGACATCAAATCATTGTAGCTGAGCCTGCAGGATTAAAAGAAAAGTGACCCCCACTGGTACAGACACTGTGGCCAGGTTTCCACATCATCAAATTGGGAGGTTTCATGGGCCCATGGTTTTGAAAGAAGCTATTAATTTTGGGGTGTTGGGAGGGGAAACTCTTAAGAGAAAAGAGGGAAAGTTAAAATACAAGTTTTATAAATACATTTTTCTTCTTAATGCATAAATCAGTCTCTGGTAACAAAAGTAATATCTGAACAATTATGAATAGAAGTTTTTAAGTACACTTAGTACAAAATGGAATATTTTCATGACCCTTGCTAAGATAGCACACTTTCTCTTTTATTGAGACACTATTATCTGTGCATATGTAATACAGCTACTGATAATGTTTGAGAAGCCTTCCATGTACTTATTCCAACAATGAAGCTTCACTGGGGCAAACAAATGGCTCACAGATTTTATTTTAAAACATTCAAAGTAACTTGCATTATATAAAGAAAATGTCTTGTGTCACGACACTTTTATCTATAAAGGGAAACATCAAACTTGAAGTCTGTATTATATCTAGGTGCACTCTTTTCTGTACACAGGCAAAAAGAATAAAGGTGTATTAAAATGATGCTGGAACATTGTCAAATGCTAACTTAAAAAAACACACACAACTTTCTTCCAACCTTTGCTAAAAGTTGCATAAAGTCTAAATTGTTTTATTTCCTCTTAAGCTTGACTTCAATTTAGGCTGCCAAATGCCCCCCCCTCAATTTTTTTTTTAATTTTAACCATGTATTCTATGGCAGGAATTTGGTTACCATGAAAGCCTATGATTTATTTCCCCTCTAATATCTAAAACAATGGTTTGATAATTTGGTAAGCAGTATTTTTAGGCTATAAATGTAACCAGGATGACAAGACATCTAGAATTAACTCAGCTTTTGAATACAAATTTGATGAGTTCAAAAAATTTCAATTTCACAGTATCATTTCATTTACTTTATATTTTACTATTCTAAATAAATATAATTTTAAATGGATGGGCAGCAAAAATAAAAATGTGTTTAATGTAACTTGTTTTTTATTTGTAAAAGTAATTGTGTTAATATGTGGCCAATTTAGAAACTTGGGTTAACTAACTAGTTTACAAAGGCCTTACTTGCTCTTAAAAAGCTTGAAAAAGTCTTTTAAAAGTGCACATAGTACTCAGCTGTATATAAAACAAAGTGTAGGCATTGTTTTCTTGAATGTTCTACTCAGACGTAGTTAATAGCGACAGCAAAATGCTTTCTAAGCACCCTGTCTAGTAATTGAAATTTCCAGGATCATCATATTTCAGGAAGGTGCCCCATTCTTTTGTTTAATGCTAGGCAAGCAGAAGGACCTCTAACTATTCTCATGAGGGCCAAAGAATTTAAGGTTTTGCTGAAGTGCAAGTGTGCTTTTAGTTTGGGTTCTATCTTTTCCTGTTGAATAAGGTTTTTCTTTGGCTTATAGAAAATCAATTTTAAATGTGCAAAACTGTTTATTCTTTCTCTCCTCCCCCCCCCCCCAGGCTTATAGTGAATGAACCTGAGACTGCTCCATGTACTTCTGTTTGTAATACTAAATCAGGTTTCTTTAAAACAAAAATGAAATTTCATGGAGAATATATTAGCCTTAACTTGACTGCAAATGGATAATGATTATGGGGGTTACTTTCTGCCTCCTTTGCATGGCATAAAGTATAAGCAAAATCAGTATTCACTGGAGTGGATGAAAAGTGGCATAAGAAATATTTGTTTTTTTCAGTTCATATTTTCTGAAGTTTGTTTGTGTCTAGTATTTTTGTTACTATTGAACGAAATGAGAAATGCAAATTTGCTGCTGTTAGCTTGAAAAGTTCAGAGTATAGAAGAAGTGTACTTATTCAAAATAAAATTATCTGCCTTTGCAGCTTTGATTTGGTGAATTTTAAAACAGAAATAAAATAGCATTCAGGAGGGGTGGGAGTTGTACTCTCTAGGTTTAACCTAATATGGCTTCTAGGTTTTCTTTTCAAAGTTGCTGCTAAGGTAACTTGTCCACATCTGAAGTGAAAGAAGAGAGAACAAATGCTGTCATTGTCTCCAAGTAAAACCAATTTCCCCCCCTTGTTAAATTTAAGTGGAATAGTATCTGGAAGGGTTTTAACAAATGCCTGGCACTGAAGTTGAGGCATAACAAGAGGCTATGTATATACAAAATACTGTTTAGCTGATAGATAAGCTTCAATGTTTTGTTTCTTTCCTAGTTAGGAATAGTTGTTGATCTTTAGTTGATTGGTTTGGTAGCTACTGACTAAAGTCCTCTCCAATATATAAAATTAACTTGGTGAAAATGTTCAAGTAATTATGTGATCAGATTTCAGAGTAGCAGCCCTGTTAGTCTGTATTTGCAAAAAGAAAAGGAATACTAGTGGCACCTTCGAGACTAACCAATTTATTTGAGTATAAGCTTTTGAGAGCGACAGCTCACTTCATCGGATGCATTCAGTAGAAAATACAGTGAGGAGATTTATATACACACAGAACATGAAAAAGTGGGTATCATCATACACATTGTAAGGAGAGTGATCACTTAAGATGAGCTATTATTATGTGATCAGAGTTATCAGTCCTTAATGAGGGGGCATGTTTTGTGGTACATAATGTCTTCTTTACTTCAGGATACCAGTCTACTGTGATAATTTCAGCTACTTACAAAAATAAGTACATGTACATGCTTGCTGTATTAATGTTGCCCAGGCAGTCTTGAAAATGATATCTGCACTCTTCTGTTATGGTGGAGTTATTGAGTAAAAACTTCAGAAATATTAGCTATTAACATAAATGTGTCCTGCTAGAAAGTGAAAAAGATGTCCATCTACCAGTTGAAGGCATTAAAAATTGTTGTAATGAAAATGTGCACAAACTGTAATACAACAATAATTTATTTGGGCAGACATCACTGCCTTAAATCATCAGTTTCAACTAAAACAGTTCATTGCTAAGATATTATTTTTTAAAAATATGAATCAGGGACACATCTTTATTTGTTCTTGCTGTAAAACGAACACATTGTCTTTCTGAAGATTAAGGCTTGCTGTGAGTTTACTACAGAGTTTTTGCCCACTGGGGGGTGGTACACACTACAAAAAGTCTGCTTTTAAGAGCCACAAGTCAGATGTTTTTTGCTGCTGTCCAGTTTTCTCTGCTTTAATTACAACAAAGCCTCCTGTTGAGAAAAACAGTGGAGGCCTCCAAGGGAAAAAAAATCAGTCTTTGAAAGATTTTACTGAACTTTACTTCCCATGTTGATTTAATTAACCGTGGTGTTTTATCTGGTCATTCTCAGTGAGAATGTTGTTAGAACTAAATAGTATGAATTTAAGAAAATTTAAGAGTTCAATTTAATATTTTATAAATGCGGTCTGTGACAAGGGGTGATCACAGTTCCTGGGGAAGGAGTAGGCCACAGAATAGAGGGAAAATATGCTCTTTAGAAATAGAATAAAATTGAGGAAAAACTGAAATTCTCAATAATGGAATTAACACAAATGTGATTTAGACCAATTATTTATATTTTCAGTTAATTGGCTTTTTATAAACCAGGACTGTGTGGTACCTAGTAACTGCTGAATCTGAAATAGTTTAAAACAAAGGTGAGGGCTTTTAAACTAAAGCATGGTGACAGGTTTTTGGAAGAAATTAAATTAACCTTAAATTTTTCAGGTTGAGGGGAAAAAACAAATATAAAAAAAATTCACCTACAAAGTGAGTCAGTTAGGATATGTGACATATATTGACAAGAAAAATAGATATGGATCTTTGTTTTTTAGAGCAGACAATTTTTTTCCTCTTTACTTAAATTGATGTTTGCATTTTTCATCTTGCCACAAAGAAAGGTTCATTAAGACTCCATATCCTGAGGCAGTAGATGGCGAGCATAACTGGAATTTCTATCTGTTTGGACAGTATAGTCTAGCAAAGAAAATGGAGCTAAAGATAATAGCTTATTAAAGTCAGACAGCTGCAAAATTATAACCCTTTTTTAAAAAATATGGTCTCATTTAACCACTGAGAATTTATGGTTGAAAAGGAATATCCACATTTTTTTTTATTTCCAAGAGATAATTAGGGAACAGACCTTGCATCTTGAAATCAGTGTGACAATTTCTTTGGAAGAGCAACTTGAATTGTGGAATGATTCTGCATTTCACTAGTACTGATGTATAGAAAGTGTTTAATGGTACATTGTGAACTGACCAGAATTAATGTCTTAAAAAAAGGAGAGAAGTGACTTTATGTTTGAACCAAATTAGTAATCTATGGCTAACAATGCCCTTCATTAATTAGTTAATTATATGCATTCATTGTCACTGTAATACATTTGTAACACTCTGGCAACTTTGCCTTGATGTGTCAGAGATGTGCTCAATCAAATTAGTTGCTGTCAGAGAGTAAAAGTTAGTCTAATTTAAATAAAATATCTAAAATACAAATAGCATCCTCGTTCCACAGCTTGCTTGTTTTTTTGCCAATGCTTTATTGACTTAAGTCTCAGAGTAATGCTAGCTGAATCAGAAAAATATATTTGGATGATAAAATCTCCTCTGGATGTTAAAACAACTTGCTTATATGTAATAGCATATATTATGCACGCTTGGAAAAAATGGCAAGTAAAATTAATAACTTACTGAATAACATGGAAAAACAAAGAGCAAAGTTTATTAAAACTAGACATATCAGGTCCATAGAAAGGAGTATCAGGCAACTTTCATATTTTTCCTTTCTTTTTGTTTTTAATGTTGTGGTTTCTAAGAAAATCGGGGCCTGTTGCATTCTTTCTTAACATGTGTGCAACCATTTTGTTCAACACATAGCCCCACTGGGGATTCTGTGTGATGTATGCAACATCTTTTGGGGAGGGGGTAACTGAAAAAACACTTTTTCACATTGTGAATACATATAGTCACGGAGAAAAACTGTTTTCAAATGAATGGCTAATTTGCATAGAGTGTAACACCAGAAGGATTTTTTAAAATTATTGAATATAGCAATCTGGTCCCATTGCACTGCCCTAAAGCTTATCTTTGTTAGTCTGGCTCACTAGATTTGTTGAATTACTATGGCTAATTTGCATACAGTGTAACACCAGAAGGATTTTTTTAAATTACTGAATATCACAATCTGGTCCCATTGCACTGCCCTAAAGCTTAGCTTTGTTAGTCTGTCTCACTAGATTTGTTGAATTACTATGCAGGTCACATACTACATTTGTCCAAGCAATGAATTTTGGCATTATATTGGGAAGGAATATATTTTTAAACCATATCCGTTCCATAGGGAATTAAACAGTTAAAACTCAGATATCTCGTTTCAGAATTACAGACGTGGGATAGTAATGCAGGCTGTAGAATCTAGGTGTAGCTGTTTGTTTATCCTTCACAAAAGATTGTAAGTATACAGAAGCATATCTAGCTGTGAGCAAGATATTTGTTCCTTATGTACTGAATACTCATGTGCTGAAGGATCATTGATTTCCTTTCACAGCTGTAAAAACGACTATTAAGGGGATCATGCCACACATGCAGTACTGCCCAGGCTTGGAAAATATTATTTTTTTATTCTAGTGAGGTATCTATAGTGTATTTTCTAGTATTTGGTTCGAGCGAAATCGAGTCTCCAGCTTAGCAATGTTTGCAGAGATTGATGCTAGTATGCCGATTGAAACTTGTTTGCTAAATATGAACCATGTTTTAAATGAACTTCTTATATTAGTACGGCACTGTAGAAGTGCATCGTAACTTTGCATTTATCATCTTCAGACTGATCTCTGATCGGAAAATTATGCCTTGTTGCACTTGAAAAATTCTCAGTGGGGAAGTAAAATACAAAACTTTTGAGGAAATTAGGAGAAATCAATGAAAACACTTACCTGCAAGGCGAGAAAAAGAATTCCTATTTACAATGCAGCAACAGCCGTTATTCCACTTCGAATGGTTATGCGAAGTCATAAAAGCCCTTGTTTCAGGTCCAGTAACAAAAAGCAAGCGCGGCTATGGTGTGAGCTTATACTGTGTCAGATCACTTCTCCTACGCTGCGAAGGAGTGAGAGAGCGAAAGCATTCCAGTTGCGTGCACACAGCCCACCTCAAAGTCTGAAGTTAAAGCTTCACCTAACAGTGGTTGAATAAAGAGCTGATGTCATAAATGGGCAGGTCTTATATGGCTCTTGTTTGGTGAGTAACTGGATAACCAGACGGACAAGGAATGTGCATTACGAACACTAGAGGGAGTAGAAGGCAACTACAGCACAGTCTGCCAAACCTGAAATCTTGGGCAGTACTATGAGGTTTGTAACAACCTGATAAATACTAACACTTTTAAGATTTATTAAAGTCAAGTGCCTTTTAAAATTATTATGGCTGCAGAATCTGATTTATAACAGTGCATAAAGAGTGGGCGAATCCCTTATTTTGGTAGATATGCCTTTTCAGAAGAAAATGGGAAACAACTGTTCTTAGTCAGTGGAAACAAATGTTACATTTGTGAATGAGATGTAATTACGTAATGAAAGACAACCACATCTTTGAGTCGAAATGAGTAAAAATAAAATAAAATGTCAACATAATTTTTACACAGTCAAATAACATAAAACTGTTCAGTATTCAAGAGCTATAGGATTAAAGTAAAAAGTTTATGAATAATTTTTATTTCCCTTTTATAATGTTTCGTTTTGTGACTAAAAAAATAGCTGAAATCTCATTTGAGACATGACCTTCTTTTTTGACTTTGTGGAGAATGTATTGTAGATTTGGATTTCTAGAGAATGAGGGAGAGCTTTGAAATAGTGAATTGCTCAAAAAAGGTTTTTGTATGTATTAACTAGTGTAAACAAATGCTATACTTCATGAAATAAGGTGAGGATCTCAGGAGGAAAGTCATTCCTATGTAGAAACAAATTGGATTTTTGACTGTGCTGGTTTCATTCAAAAACTGTGGGCATGAAGTAATTCATTTGATGAACAATAAACAACTTCAGGGACCCTTGGGAGGTCATGTTGACATAGGAATCATAAGAGATTATTCATCTCTAGTTTTGAATAATGTTTCCTTAAAGGCATTAGTATTGTTAAGTCCATATTAAATTAGTAATGGCATAATTGTTTTTCTTATTATCCTCTAAAGCACCTATTTGAGATGCTTATTTTAGTTCTTAGGAAATTCAGATGAGGACAAATAAGGCATTGTAAATACTCATATCCTTTTAATTCATTGATAAGTACCATCATTTGGAAAATAAATTTGCTTAATAAGTTCTTCCTACAACATAGTTTCCTTTTACTAGTAGCTTATTAACTTGCATAAGTGCTATTTGATTTAGCATAGTTGACATTTCCCATTGTCTTTTTAAATTTCCCTCAAAATATTTGTTTCCTTGAGGTCAGTCAATTGCTGTCTCCCACAAGTATTTGATTATATTCTCTTCATTAGCTTCATTTAGTTTATCTTGTCTGTATGCTTGTTTGATAGAGCAGTTTGACCCTGGTATTCACCAGCAAGACTAGGTGATATCAAAGTAGAAGGCAAGCTCATGATAAGGGCTATGTTGACCTCAATTGTTCAATTATTGCACTTTTTGTGGCATCAGAGGACAGCAAGGCCAAGCTCCATTAAGTTTGCAAGGGATCTGGATTTCTTTAAGTCTAAGGCTTATGGAAACCACAAGGAACACAAATTATCAACTTGGTACTTAAATCGCTTAAATAAGTTCTAACTGTAGAACTGAACTTTCTAGTTATTTATTATTTTCCTGAAAAAATATGTCCATTTACTTTATGCTACATTTTTTTTAAATCTTTAAAATCCACCTTTTGTAAACATAAATTTCTCATTTAAATATACCTTTCATTACCAATATTTGCTGTATCTGATTTTGATGTGGTTGAAACATCAAAATGGTACACGTTGCATTTTTCTTTAAATATGGGGGTTGAGGGGAATGTTCTCAAGCTTTTTTAAGGGAAGGAAAATGTTCTTCTACATTTCCTGAATTCCAGTCCTCATCTAAATACAGTAAAATGTGCTTTATTAAATATACAATGGACTATAATTTTATGAATAAAAACTTGACAGAGAAAAGAGTTGACATAATAACATATTGAAAAATATTTTTAGACATTCATCTAGACTAGACAATTGACCATTTGTTCTCTAGGAAGATTTATTTGTTCACAGATCAGCAAATTCCCCAGAAAAATAACAGGTTAAAAACTGTGTAATGCTAATTTTAACAGTTAATAAAAACTCTTCCCAGTGTGCTAAATGCACTGGGCTTTGCCCTTGGCCGAGCTACTTGTGTCCTCCTATGCTCAGCAGTTATACTAAGGATCATTTAACTTATATATATATATATGCAGGCATTGTATTGCAGCATGCCTCTGTTCAGTTGTCATGCAAAACAAGACTATTGAATATGGTAATGCAGGGTAGATTTTGAGTTCTGAGTATTCTAAAAGTGTTTCTTAAAACTCAAATTCCATTAAGATTCGGAAAGCATCTTTAAAACATGTTAGGTTTCAGAGTAGCAGCCGTGTTAGTCTCTATTCGCAAAAAGAAAAGGAGTACTTGTGGCACCTCTAAGGTGCCACAAGTACGCCTTTTCTTTTTTTAAAACATATTGTATTCCTAGCATCTCTGAAGTCTAGCCCAGTTTTATCAATAAACAGGTTGTGATGCATGTTACAGCACATCAATACTATATTTTAATATGTACCTGTGTGATGTTCACAGAAGATATGGAGTGCCCATTCAGCTATCTTTTAGCCTGTGAAATCTGGCCAAATACAGAATATAGTAGTAGAAATTGGAGTAAATCTTCCTGAACAATTCCAAAGGGTATTTGAGAAATAATTATGTTTTACCAGCTCACAGCTGCCTTAGAATACTAAAACTTTTTTTAAAAAATGCTATAATTAACTTATTTTTATTCCTATATTTCTATAGAGACTCTTTAAATCTATGATTTAAGAACACTTCAAATACTTTACACAACAAACTGTTGTAGCTTAACAACTTGGCTATTTGTTCATTTTTAAAATGCAAAAATTCAAGACCTTGATCTGGAACTCTATTAATGGTAGTGGAGCTGCTCATCTGAGGAAAAGGTGTATGAGTTGCAAATATATGAAAATTTAGAAGTGTAATGAGTTATAATTTAGTTTCTTTCTAAGCTAATAGTCTAAGACAGTAGAGAGAATAGTCTCTTTGCCTGTACTTAATGTATAGAAATCTTTGTGACAGGAAGATTAGAAATTAAACCTTTTTGGCAAATCTATAGGGAAATTACTTTTTGGAAGATGTGTGGCAATACTGTTAAGGCCTAAAAGTTGAGGAGGCTTTTGAGGCTAACAAGTCATAAATTCAGAATACTCTATTATACCCTGTTCATAACACATTATGTCATACAAGTGCATAGTTCATAACATATATGCATGTATTACATACCTGGTTTTCCTATCTTTCATCTGTCTTGATCTTTCTGAATTACCACCACGTAAGGTACACTTTCAAGTCAAAGTGATAACTCTGTGTATTTTTAGCATCCTGCTTGTACTGATGGTGATTGCAGTTCCAGAAACTGCCCTTGACTAAAGGCTGATCTCAGCATCTTTTGATATGATTTCCCAAGCATTTTGCATGGGGAATGAAATAGTTATTCCAGAAGGACATGGTTGGTAAGGTAATACCTTTCATTGGACCAACTTCTGCTGGGGTGAGAGAGAAAGACAAGCTTTTGAAGTCAGTCCAATAAAAGATATTATCTCACCCCCCTGGTCTCTCAAATATGCTAGGACTGACATGACTACAAACTACACTGCATACAATTCCAGAAAGAGTTTTCCAGCAGGAGGAAACAGATCCCCTGAAGACTGCAAGAGAAAACTGAATCACTTCATGTTTAGGAGATTCTCACAAGTGGCAATCACTTGCTCAGTGCTCAGTTCTGCTCTCAGTGGCAGATTAGCTATTGGGACAACAGGGCCTGTGCACAGGGGCCCTGGCCAATTAGGGGGGCCCTGGAAAAATGGGTGCCCCAGAGCCCTGCCCTGCTACACCTGCCCAGAACTCCTGCCGGGGAGTGGGGTCAGGGCACAGGGGCTTGCCCTGCCCCACCCCACTCTGCCCCTGCTCCTCAGTAGGAGTGCCAGGCGGGCAGGGAAAGTCCCTGCACCCCGACAGAACTCCTTGGCAGGAGCACCAGCAGGAGCGCCGGGAGAGGGCGGAGGGGACAGCAGGCAGAAGGGATGGGGAGAGGCTCCCACTTGCTCTGGCCTAGGGCCCCACAAACCCTAATCCACCTTTTACTGCTCTTTCAGAAACTCAGTAAACTGATGTGAAATGGGGTGTTAGTGGAGTTGAGCTTATTGAGAGAGGTCCCTAATTAACAGATCAGCTTTAAAGGCATGTTGGAGCAATTTCCAGAGTAGCTTGCCCCAATTTAAAACAGGGTATATGTTAATTTGTAGTGACATTGAAGGAAAGAAAAGCAACAGTTTAAGATGCAGCTTACCAGAAGAATGTCAGTGGTAATGAATAATATACATAGTGTGACAAAGCTCTGTCCTTGCCTCTGTGGGTCCCACGTTTCCTGGCAGATTTCGCTAGCCTCAGAGGCTCACTGTGGCCCTGCACATAACCCTTCTCTCTCTAGGGACAAGGGTCACAGTCTACTGAGCCATTTTCATCATAAGCCAGCAAGGGAGTTGAGAAGTTATGCTTCCTTGCACAGTCTCTGTTGTCTCCCAGTCTCAGTGATTAATCAGGGGGCAAAGGTGCGGGGGGCGGGGGAGCCCAGGCCTACCCTCTACTCCAGGCTCCAACCCAGGGACCCTAATAGTATCAGCTATGGTAGCTGACCTTTTAGAAACATGACATGTACAATTCCCTGGGCTACTTCCCTTACAGCAGCCCTCACTTCCTCAAGCTCCACTTCACCCTTATCTCAGGGCCTCCTTCCTTGTGCCTGATATGGTGTGTACTACTCAGCCTTTCCAACAGCGCAACTTCCTCCCACAACTCCTGACATGCACACCCACCTGACTAACTGGGAGGCTTTTAACTAGCTTCAGTCAGCCCCTGACTGGCTTCAGGTATCCCAATCAACCTAGCC